GGCTACAATGAAGCTCGATGGCGAGGTACCCGCGGAGCTGCGTGTTTCGGGGCACGGCTGGTAGCAGGCCGTTGCAAAAGGCTCGGACGAGGGCGGCGAGGTACTTGTCTTCCTCGGACGTCCACGCACCCGAGCGCCACGTCGCTTCCGAGGACGCGTTCGAGTGTAGAATGTGACGCAGGTCCATTGCACGTCGAGTCGGGCCGAGACAGCCAAAGATAATTTGACAGGCGACGGGGCACCGGCCAGATTTTCGAAACGCGTCTTCAACGTCCAGAATGGGAGCTCCGGTCACTAGCTCGACAACGTGTTTTATTGTGGTGTGGCTGTGCAATCGAATGCATCTGTGTGCACACGGATTGCCCTCTGCCAGCGCGAAGGATGTTTCCATAGCAAGCCACTGTGATGGACATCCACGGGGCGGCCGAGAGACTTGGCACGCCAAGGCGCTCGCAAGGGGGCAGAGTCGAGCTTACGCGAGCTCCCGTTTGCCTTAGAAATCGATTACTTGATTTGCTTCGCGTCAGTGCACTCGCACAGTAGTACTGGTATGCACTCACGAACATCGCCGCCCGCCCTGCAACTAACCGTTGCCGTCAAATCCGCACCAAAATTGGGTATGTGCATCGAAATACGTTTACCGGTACTTGATCTGACTATGCATCCGTCCGCGCCATTTGGGAGTGGTGCAAAATGATGCAGGATGGCATTCTCCCATAACCTCTCCAACTCAATTGGGAACTTAATCGGATAGTTATTTTATTTGAAGTACCCAGCTCTGGCGAATCTCCTCCAAAATCTGCCCAGATTTGTCGCTTCCCCGTTTCCGCAACTACATGTACGGTATCTCCCGTGGCCAGTAATCTCTGGCTCTGGTGACGCGTTCAACAGAGATGTGCGGTATTAGTGTAGGACTGGATTCTTTCGTTGGTTTTGATTGCTCGTAACGTCGAAGACGACGGCATCGGGAGCGCTCAAGCGACGAAATCAACGTGCAATTGCCAGCTACGAGCGCCGCATCGACGAGCAAGAGACTAGAATTGCGTCCGGTTTTGTGCAACAATACTGCGCGTATCCAATGGCATTTGTGAGACCGTATGCGGCGAGATGACTCATCCAGTTATGTTACTGTAATAAAACGACGCGCCGTGATCTGGTTTTGGAATCACGTGATCCGTCGTTACTCGAGTTCCATGGTTGTGTGACCGTGTGTGGAAGCGCTCGATCAGAGGGAACGAGGTTACATTGTTTCAATTGACTGCTTCAGCAAGGCGAGACGCTATTACCGGGCAATCGTTAGGTGCATGTTGAATGAAGCCATGCGGTGTGGATAGCAAGTTCCTTGGTTCGGTCACACATCCATGGAACTCTCGTAACGATGGATCACGGGATTCCAATATCAGATCACGGCGCATAACATAACGTTTCCAGTATCTCGCCGCAACGTTAGCAGACAAGAGCAGTCCAGTCAGGCGTCTGTGGTCAATCCTTCGTTAACGTGGGCATTTCCTCCAAGCAAGAGTAAGTCAAATGATTCTTTATTTAATTTTTATCAACCCTGCGACGATATGCCCAAGGTTTTGCTACGGCGTCACGAATGCCCTTGGATACGCGCAGTATTGTTGTATAAGACCAGACGCAATTCTAGTCTCTCGCTCGTCGATGCGGCGGTTGTAGCTGGCAATTGCACGTTGATTTCGTCGCTTGAGCGCTCCCGATGCCGTCGTCTTCGACGTTACGAGCAATCAAAACCAACGAAAGAATCCAGTCCTACACTAATACCGCACATCTCTGTTGAACGCGTCACCAGAGCCAGAGATTACTGGCCCCAGGAGAAATTCACCGAGAGAGATCGCCACCGGGCAAGCGTGGCGATAAGACATTAGTTGTTCGAGGCATGTGCTTACCGCCGTAGTAGTTCTGTATGAGTACATCCCCTCGTCTACTAAGCAAAGCATATCACATCATCGATTTCCTGCATAAAGTAGAGGTCCCGTGACCGCAACGCAGCCAAGTCTCCCGGCCGTCCCGTGGACGTCCATCACAGTGGCTTGCTATGGAAACATCCTTCGCGCTGGCAGAGGGCAATCCGTGTGCACACAGATGCATTCGATTGCACAGCCACACCACAATAAAACACGTTGTCGAGCTAGTGACCGGAGCTCCCATTCTGGACGTTGAAGACGCGTTTCGAAAATCTGGCCGGTGCCCCGTCGCCTGTCAAATTATCTTTGGCTGTCTCGGCCCGACTCGACGTGCAATGGACCTGCGTCACATTCTACACTCGAACGCGTCCTCGGAAGCGACGTGGCGCTCGGGTGCGTGGACGTCCGAGGAAGACAAGTACCTCGCCGCCCTCGTCCGAGCCTTTTGCAACGGCCTGCTACCAGCCGTGCCCCGAAACACGCAGCTCCGCGGGTACCTCGCCATCGAGCTTCATTGTAGCC